AATACATAACATGTAGTATTCATTTCAAAATATCATTTATAAGTTTTACAAATTGTTTATAATTAAATTCCATTATTGCCAAAGAAAATATATATTACCATAAAACTTATAATTTGTTTATCATTCTTTGGCTTCGACTGAATAGCATTTTTTAATTACTGCCATGGCCATATGCCATGCATGGCATTTTTGACTAAATAGCATTTTTTTGTTTTGCTATGGCCATGCATGGGCATGGCAATTATTTTTTTGTGCCATGCATGGCCATGGCAAAAAATTTTATGCCATGCATGGCATATGGCATCTATCCTTGTGCCATGCATTGTCTATGGCATTTATTTTATGCCATGCATTGACTGTATTATTAAATATTTAAAATAATTTATCATTATTAATCATTATTGTAATTTATAATCCACATAATTTATTATAATGTTAATTAGTTATATATTAAAGTTTTCTAAATTTAATTACATGTAAATTGATATTAATTACTGTATTTGATCTATTTCATGTCTATTGTTATATTAAATAATATTATTTAACCATTATTTAAAGTTATTTACAAAAATAGTAATAAAAATAAAAATTTCAAATGTTTATAAAGTGTAAACTTATTTACAAATTTAAATGTATATAATTACGATATTTAAAAATACAGTCAATGCATGGCATAAAATAAATGCCATAGACAATGCATGGCACAAAGATAGATGCCATATGCCATGCATGGCACAAAACCTTATGCCATGGCCATGCATGGCACAAAAAATAAATGCCATGGCCATGCATGGCCATGGCAAAACAAAAAAATGCTATTTAGTCAAAAATGCCATGCATGGCCTTTGGCCATGGCACTAATTTAAAAAATGCTATTCAGTCGAACCCTAGTTTGTATAAATGTACATAACAAATGTTACTATACCTACTTTTATATTATTTTAAAACTGTAATTATAAGTAAAAGATTCGATAGTTTTAGATCAACTCTACTTTAAATTTAATTAATTGGTCTATATTAAACAGACGATTAATTTTATTTTAATAAGTATATTATAATCTAATCACTGCGATAAAGTAAAATATTATGACTTATATTTTCATTATTAACATGGAATATACTCACGTGAAATAAACTCACAATCTGCAAAAATATTTATTTATGAAACAAAATATATTAAACTAAAAACATTTATTTAAAATGATAAAGAATATGTTAGCAACAGAATATTTAAAAACATAATTTATGCATCAAACTAATCATAAAACATTATAGTTAATTTAAAGTGAAGTTTAACTATTAATTTATTTCGCTGTCGCGAATCCAACCCTATTATTGCCGAAATCATATAAAGTATAATACGTTTGAATGAAAACATCGCCTAAAATCCATTGTAGAGTCGAACCCATCGTTGAGAAGCCGGACAGACATTGGGGCCGACCGTTGGGTCCCAACTGTCGCAACACATACTGAGCGCCGGTTAAGGGAAACGCGTGACCGGCGATAGTGAAGGTGACGGTCGGCAATGACTGCACTGAACGGCAATCCATGACATACTGACCGTCGCTCTGATATGTGGCGCCAATCGCGCGGTTTATGCGCGCAATCTTATGCTGCGGTCCCACTAATAGCGAAGTGCCGGTGTCTGCGATGGCCTGACACCCGCCACCGGTGCACAACTGTACGTCACCCACACTGACCATGTCCATTTGAAATTGCCAGTAACCCTGTTTAGTCACGTTTACGTATGAAAAGTTACCTGTATAGTGGTTGGGGTCAGTGCCACCGAGTATAAGCTCTCCGTCGGGTTTTCCCCTCACGCCTCGGCTCAGGTAGAAGGAGAAGACCGGCGCCGACACCACTCCCTGTGCTATCATATTGTTGAACACTGGCGTCACTCCATAGGAAGACAACTGCGGGTAACCCATGCCTAATATGCCGTCAAACTCGGAGTATATAAATGTAGTACCAGGTTCACTTGTTGTCTCGGCAAATGTCTGGTTGACTACTTTAGCTCCACCTATTGTCAGTGTATCTGAACTTAGATATCCGGTAGCACTGCCGGTGCCGTATTGTATGGCAAAGAGCTGACCATTGGGCTGGTATGTGGATGATCTAGATGGATTGTATTTACGGTGGATTTTGCAGGCGTATGATTGACAGTATATGCCCGGCACCCATAAGTCTGAGCTTCCCGTGTCAAATATTACCTATGTACAATAAGTATTATTAATGAAATTTATTTATTTTAATTTGCCAGATTTAATAATTTTAAAAAATTGTGAATAATTAATAATTTGTCACAATCACTAAATTAAAACAAATTGATCTCCATCTTGCTACCATTTATTAAACTAATGTTAACATAATTTAATTATATCACATTTTGTATATTTATTTACAGTATTGTTTAGTAAATTATATAATAATTATGTGTACGTAATTAATCATATATAATTATTCTATAATTTAATTTAATTATGTTAAAATCATACATACTTTGAAAGGCTGAGGCGGTGTACCCAACGATATGACGCCATAGTATTCGGAGTCCATGTAATTGGACAGCGGCTCCAATATGGCCGACCCGTTTTGGCCCACATTATTGGGAAAAATATCGCTTATATTTAAGTTGTTTTGTTGACAATAATTTCGCATTGATTGGAATTTAGTCAGAGTTAACCTGGTCAATTTACTACTGGTTTGTGGCAATAGTAATATTAATAATATTGGCAGTAGTATTATTATTAATTTACACATTATTCTCTATAGTTATAGTAAAATAAAGGTTTAATTAAATAATCTATATAAGTTATTATATAATAGATTAGTTTTTCTTAATTACAATTAGCTTTAAATCACACTGAGTTAATTAATTATTATATATTTTATTGAAAATGTTTTCCTTACTCTCAATTACTGTATACAATACTATTATATTTATATAAATACATAAAAAATATATATTGCTGATGCATGATTGTAATGACTAATAATGATAATTATTTTATGTAGTTTGTAAAGTAAATTGCATTTACGTAACTAATAAATAATAGATGTTTGTAAAATAACATTAAAAATCATTACATGATTTAGTAATTATTATTATTGTAACATTAACAAAATAACACATTATCAATAATTATATCCAATAATTTATCCCATAATTGTAGTGATTCTGATATCCAACATATATTAAATATAAATTAATTATTATATTACAGTATTTATTGTAATTATAAAAATTGCTTACAAGTTGCCAAAAAATATTACAAAATTTTTTTGTGAATTACATTTGTAGAATTGTAGTTGTGATGATTGAGCGAATATGTAAATATTATCATCATAAAAATAAAATAATATTTGCCATATAAATTAAGCAATATATTTTAGAAATAATTATTTATTGTTTAATTTTTATTTTTAAAATAATATTTAGAATATTGCTTATTAAATAATTGTTTTAAAATTGATTTTAATGTGTTTATTTAAGTATCTAATTTATTTTTTTTATTGTTGTATATTTTATTCAAATTTATCTTAAAATAGTTTTGGGAACTGACTTGGACTTTTGGAATAATTTATTTTATGTGGAAAATTTAATTACATTATATTAACGAGCGACAGAATTTTATTTCTTATGAATAATGATACACTATAAATGTTACAATTAAACGATCATCACCTGCCCTCACAATATAAGTAAATGGTTTTAAAGCGTAAATCATTTGTATTTAATATAAATATAAATTATAACTTTCATTAAACCCCAACTCGTATTAATGCACATTATATTTGACTAAAATACTATTTGGCCCATAGATTGGCACATAGCCTCTTGCTACATTATATTAAAAATATATCTGCGTATGTACTATTTTAAACTGTAGCCAGCAATCCCAAATTACAAATTAAAAAATTATTAAATTTTTAATATATAAGTTAATTAATGTTTGATTACAGTTTTGTTTATTTTAGGCACAGCGTGAAATTTGAACAATATTTTATCTTGGTGGGCTTATTGTATAATATCAAATTAATAAATAAATGTATTTATAACTTAATCAATAATAGTATTTAAAAATAATTATATCTAAAAGACTGTAGGTCTATATAAAATAATTGATATGTTAATTTAAACAATATTTTTAAATTTGATAATTGGTCAGCTGATGATTTACCAATTTAATTTTTATTTTTAAATTTTGTGCATACATCTAAATCCAATATGAACTAATTATTTATTTCATATTTATAACTGTTAACGTAACATTATTAATATCACAATATTCTAATAATTATTATTAATTAATTAATTAATTTTCTTAATTAATTAAAAAATTGTTAAAATTAAAATGAATTAAATTTAAAACACCAATTAATTAATTCAAAGTATGGTATTTCTATATGTATATAATTTTTTGTTAAAAATTACAGTTTTATGTAAATCAATATAAAAAGTCAATATAGTGAAACTTGTTTAATATATTTATTTAATGCATGATGGTTTAGTTTGAACATAGCTTTTAAACTATCTAATGAATAAATGACCAAGTATGCATAAAATATACTAGTGCAACAAAATCATTATTTTTTGAGAAAAGACGATTATAACTATTAAATATTATTTTAATTAAAATTGTTAAATATTTGTGTTAAAATAATTAAAAATATTAATATAAAAATAATATACCATAATGAATTAACTTTAGCTCATAACTAATAAAATTTGTTAACAATAAATTAATAAGTTCAGTTGTCGGTTAACCAATTAATTAAATTCATAATATTACTTATCTACATACAAACTATCATTTTGTATTATTTACAGTCTTTAAATAAAAGTATATTCAATTTAAGTCCATAATAAAGTATGGTTAAATGTCATTAATATATTTATTCAAAAACACTACACTTAATTTGAATTATAAGGTTGGCACTATACAGCACCACCTTGCACCAGCTGCACCACTGCACCACCAAATATGGGTCAGTGGCAACATAACTCGAATGCACCACCATGACTGCACCACCATGACTCAAATAATAAATCTTAT